GCTTTAAGCAGAAAATCCTTACATATTTCTTTCCTTATGATTGTTGAATTATTGGCAAGCGTACCAAATTATCAATCGCAGTATAGTATTTCGATTAAATAAAATTCGATCCCACGAGGAACAGTTTCAATGGAAATTCCCAATTATGCTTACTAAGTAGATTAAAACAGATTAGGTTTTGCAAATAAGAGTTGAATTGAAATTAAATGACAAAGACTTGTAAATTGTTGAGAAAATATCAATTAAAGGTACTTAGGATTGACTTCTTTCCTTATCCCTCTTTTGTAATGACTAAATCAATTAAGAACGTCAATTAACCTAACAATGTTGATGTCACCTACTCAAATCATCCATGTTGATTCCTCACACATGAAATTCATAAGAAAACCTAATAAATGTTGATTCCTCACACAATTAACAGATTTTCCAGCATTAGGGTTAGGGTGTTTAAGCAATTGATATATTCATTCCATTCCTGGCAATTAACGTAACAAATATTCTTACCGTGATCTGGGGTTCAAGATATATTTTCCAATCATACCTCAAACAATCAAGAATAAATTATTCCAAAGCATAGAAGATAAGAATAACAACATCAAAGCATAGATTAATATCTCAAAATATCACCATGATACAAAAGAGTTCAAAGGAAGTGCACCGAATCCTAAGAGAATGAAGTTAGCCACTCATGTTGGCCATTACAATGCTCCAATTGATGAAGAAGTGAAGAATTGATGAAGATTAGACAAAACCCTAACAGTAGTCGTGTTTCCTCTCCTCCAAGACTACTTGCTTTTCTCAAAACGCAACTTATCTTTTTATAAGAGAATTTGGGTCGGGCCTTGCATCATTCATTCGCTTAAGCGCTCTTCTTTCTTTCAATTTTACTCTAATTATGCTGACAATTATGCTCCTTACTCTTGTATCAAGGTATTCTCAAATTCATCCTATATTGGGAGAAAAATATATTAGAATTAACATAAGTTAAGTGGTTTTATAACAATTTAAGTATAATTATATCAACTTTTTACCACTTAACAATGATTCATGAGATGAATCTGCTAGAAGAGTTCAGAAACATGAATTTATTAATTACCATGAACCCTGATAGAATAAAATTAAACTTAACTCAGATTACTAGTGGATTACAAAGACAAATTCAAGAGGCTCAAGTAGTTGATGAATTTATTCAAAATAAAAAGAAGTTGATAGGACAAAAGAATGGAGAAAAATTTGGCATAGATAAAGCAGGAATTTTGAGATTTAGTGGTAGGATATGTGTGCCTAATAATGTAAAGATTAGAAAGCTGATTTAGATGAAACACATAAGAGTAAGTTGAGCATACATCTAGGCACAACAAAAATGTATCAACATCTTAAGAAAATATTTTGGTGGCCTAAAATGAAGAAGCAAGTGGCAAAATATGTAACATCATGCTTAGTTTGTCAAAAAGCTAAGATGGAACATCAAAGGCCTGCAGGAATGCTACAATCTTTAAACATACCTGAGTGGAAATAGGATAGTATTGCAATGGACTTTATAGTTGGTTTACCACAAACAATTCAAACATTTGATTCCATATGGGTTATCGTGGATAGGTTGACAAAGTCTGTTCATTTTCTACCCATTAACATTAGGCATTCATTGGAAAAACTGACTGAATTGTACATAAAAGAAATTGTGAGGTTACATGAAGTTCCATCTAGTATTATTTCTTACAGGGATCCTAGGTTTACTTCTAAATTTTGGGGAAGCCTACATAAAGCCTTAGGAACTAAGCTTCATCTTAGCTCAACTTATCATTCTCGAACTGATGGACAATCAGAAAGAACCATTCAGTCCTTGGAAGATTTGTTGAGAGCATGTGTATTAGAATATTCTGGTAGCTGGGACCGATACATATCATTAATTGAATTTACTTATAACAATAGTTTCATTCTAGCATAGGTATGGCACCCTATGAGGCATTGTATGGGAGAAAATGTAGGACACTTTTATGTTGGTTTGAGACTGGAGAAAATTTAATCTTAGGTCCTAACATGATTCAACAAACTACGGAGAAATCTAAGAAGATTAGGGAAAAATTAAGAATAACTCAAAGTCGATAGAAAAGTTATGCTGACAAGAGAAGATGACCCCTTGAATTCCAAGAAGGTGAGCATGTATTCTTGAAAGTAACACCGATAACTGGAGTTGGTAGAGTAATGAAAGCCAAGAAACTCACTCCTCGATTTATTGGTCCCTATCAAATTCTTAGAAAAATAGGTCTTGTTGCTTATCAAATTTCCTTACCCCCTTTCCTTTATAATCTTCATAATTTGTTTCATGTGTCTCAACTAAGAAAATATATTTCTGACCCTTCTCATGTAATAATGTCAGATACAGTACAATTAAAGGATAACCTTACATTTGAAACAATGCATGTACAGATATGAAGATCAAGCAACTGAGGGGAAGACAAATTCCACTAGTAAAGATTGTTTGGAATGAAATTACTAGAGATGCTACGTGGGAACTAGAAAAGAGAATCAAAGAAAATTACCCTCATCTATTTTAGTCGCTAAAAATTTCGAGGACGAAATTTTTGTAAGTATGGGAGAAATGTAACATCTCAAATTAATGTAAAAGATAAACATTATTTTATCTTAAAAGATAAACCTTATCAAAATCATAATCACTGCATTTATGGTTACGTAATTAAATAAATAAAAAGAAAAAGAAAAATTTGCTAAAAAAGGGAAAGGGGGAAGATCCATAGGAAGTAGGAGAGAGAAAGAGAAAGAGAAAGGGAGAGAGAGAAAGAAGGAGAGAGAAATAGAAAGAGAAAGAGAAACGGAGAGAGAGAAAAAAAGAGAAAGGGAGAAAGATAAGGAGAGAAAAGAAAGAGAAAAATAAAATCATCTCTGCAAAATTTTGGTACCTCATCCGCAGTTTTTAAGGTAGGGGAGGAGAATATTATCATTAAATCTATTTTATTTTGCTTATAGTTGTGGAGTGAGGTGTCCCTAACCTCATTCTATTTATTTAGTTATTTGTTTATTTATCTCTAACTACATAATGATCCCGCCTTATGCTTATTTTATCTCTAGTCTTGCACTGGTCCTATTTTGATTATCTCCAGTTATGTACTGATCTTGTTTGTTTATTTTATTTTATCTTTTGTCTTGCACTTATCCTATTTTAATTATCTCCAGTTATGTAATGGTCCTGTTTGTTTATTTTATTTTATCTTCAGTCTTGCACTGGTCCTATTTTAATTATCTCTAGTTATGTACTGATCCTCTTTGTTTATTTTATTTTATCTCCAGTCTTGCACTGGTCCTATTTTAATTATCTCCAGTTAGGTACTGGTCCTGTTTGTTTATTTTATTTTATTTTCAGTCTTGCACTGGTCCTATTTTAATTATCTCCAGTTAGGTACTAGTTCTGTTTGTTTACTTTATTTTATCTCTAGTAATAATACAACGATCCTATTTATTAATTTATAGTTATATTATTCAATTATAATAATATCTATTTGTGAAGATTTGATGATATTGTAGATGGAGGTTGAACCTTGGGGATTTAAATGAGTAAATATCACTGTGAGAGTGATTAAAATTGGACTCATTTATCCTGACTAGTCATTACAAATTTAATTTAAATCTTCATAAAATAGAATGTGTTGAGGAAGTTGAAACATATATATCTATATATTATAAGATTGTATTATTGTAAATGATAAATGTTCTCACTCCCTATTGTGATCTTTTGTGCATGTTTTATTTAAACACCAACTTAAGTAGATGGAAGCGCCAAATATTCCAAATCCCTTTTTCTGCAAGCATCATTGCCTTCTTCGCAGGAACAACTTGGAACACGAACGTTATAGACAACTCGAGTTGCTTTTAGAGGACGTAATTATCAATAATAACATTTGTATCCGAAATGGAAAATCTTATTATGTTAGATGGACCAAGTAGTGGTTACCTTTTGTATGTCTCCTACCTTTTTCCAAAACCCCTTAATCAGTTTGTTTCCACCTAAGCAATGTAGATATTTGTAAAATTATAGAAAAAAATAGAAGGAATCAAAAATAAAATTCATTCTTCTTTTGTATATCTTATATATATATAGTGATGTAAATTACTTTTACATATATGTAATTTTTTTTTTTACCTCGCTACTCTTATACAAATAATAATAATAAGGAAAAAAAATGTCACATTCTCCTTCATCAAGTTACTTATTATTATTAACTCGATGATGGAGAGCTTGTGTATTATCATGAAATATGAAATATCACAAATGGAAGTGATCAGCCTCTAAGTAGGAGATTGTTTAGTATGTGAAGTCTAAAAAGTTATTAGATCTACCTCATTTACTTATTATTTTATTATAAATATTTATGTAATTATAAATCTAATTAAAAATAAAAATGAGAACTACCATCTAACATAGTTATGAATGTAGCCCATTTTGACTAGATTAAATAAATTTCTTATATTCTTATTATTTATTTTCTTTTTGTATTTTTGTCCATGTATGAAAAATAAGAAGAGTATCAGTTCTTAGTAAGATAACAAAACGAGTCGATGTACCTCGTTTTGGCCCGTCCCACAATAATTAGGATGGGTCATAAATCCTAGCTCGTCTTGTTAAAGGGTTGGCTCATGAGCCAACGGACTAACCCGCCAATAAAAAATTTTATATGTATTTTTTTAAAATATATATTTAATTATATGAATAATTTTTAAGTTTTTATTTATTAATTAATATTTTTATTAAATAAATTAAAAAAATATTATATATATCAAAATAACTAATTATAATTAATATTTAAATTTAATTAATTGATTTTTATAATTTAAAATATAATATATTTTAATAAAATAGGTCAATCCATCCTATCCACCATTAATCCACTAAATTGATAAATTAGACGAGATAGACCAAAATGGAATAACACGCTAAAATCACCTATTCATCCACCATTTTTTAGGCAAGTTAGCAAGTAATATCAATCATAACCTACTTTATCATGCTCAAAACGTGAAATAATTTATTTTTGGTTACAGGCTTAAGAATATAGGAGTGAAATAAAAATGTTTACTTTTTAATAATAATAAAAAAACTAGTTGAAATATAATATTATTTTATAAAATTATATTTTTCTAATTAACAATTATTTTATGTATATAATTTCAATTTATCTATGAATTAATTTTATTTATGTTATTTGATAAAGAGTAAATATGAAAATAATTATAAAAATTAAATATATAATTTAATATATTTTATGTTTTTAATATTTATTATTTTATAAATTTAATTTCAAATATTTTCTCAAAAAATATAATTTTGTAATAAAAAATTATAATTATATTTTAAAGTATATATTATTAAAAAATTAGATAATAATTGAAAGATATTAATTAAAAAATTAATTCATGAAAAAATAATTAATAATTATATGATAATTTATAATTATATATATTTAATTATATATTAATTTTAAAATAAACATTTTTTTATTTTTATAATAAGAATATATTTCACTTTATATTTTTCTTCTTTTGCTTTCAATAATGATAATTGAATATATGTCTTATATATATATATATATATATATATATATATATATATAATATGAATGTATTAATTTTTTTATTTTATTAAAAATATATACTATTTTTTTATTATGTTTTTTTATATATTCTATTTATTAATTGTAAATAGAAGAATTTGATTGGTAAAATATACTGCCTCTTATCACACTTTAGACAAAATCAGATAAAAAAATATTAAATTTATTATTTTTAAAAGAATTTGTTAATTTTCATTTTTATATTTATTAATATCATTGAATAAATTAGTGACAAAACACATAATTATGTCATTAATAATAAATACGTTGGAATTAGTAGAAACTAAGTATATTAAAATTGTATAAAGTTTTATACTAAGAGTTATATATATATATTTTTAAAAAGCATATTGTTTTATACTAAGAGTAATATAGACAGAGAAAATTATTAAGACTTTCTTGAACTGTGAAATAAGGTAGATGAAAATGAACAGTTATTTTTAAAAAATTGTGACTTTTTTTAATTATTAATTAATATAATTATTTAAAGATTAATAATATATTTACAATTTTATCATATAATAAAATCATTTATATATAAACTGAATTATGGTAATAAGAAATTAATTAAATTATGCACAATTAATTTATCATTTATGTATAACGAATATATTACATTAATTTGAAAAATTAATTTTTTAAGCCTAATGATCCTAATGTTTTAATTTTTGTATCAATATATTTTGTAGAATAGAAGAATACTACTATTAGAAGAAGTAAAAAAAATAAAATTGTTTGATTATTTAATTTGTCAGGTAATTTTTTCATTTATGCGCTTTTCATACCCGATACTGTAATTAATAAAGCTAATTTTGTCTTTCTTCTACTTTTAATTTCAATATAAAACTCTTAAATATTGCTATAAAATTTTATTACTATTAATTTTTAACTTAATATAAAATTGCAATCAATCAATTAGCGTGAAATTTTGAGAAAAAAATTTTGTTTTTTAAATAATTCAAATGGAAACTGAAAAACAAAATTGTTTGATTATTGTTTTTAAAAATTAAAAAAAAAAACTTGTTTTATAATGATTTTGTTAAAAAAATAAAAAATTAAAATTGATAAAAAATGTTTTCTCTTTTCATTAATACATAATAAGATTTTAATCAATAATTAGGTTAAATTACTTATTTTTATCATTATAAAGTTTATGAAATCATTTTTAAATTTATTTTACATTTTTTTATTATTATTTATGTGATATATTAAATTTTGATTAGATTAATAATTTAAAATTGGGTCATAGGAATATTTTACATATTTCTTAATTTTACAAAATCATTGTTTGAAAATGTTTTTTATGATTAATTTTTTATATATATAAAACCAGCAAGAAGACTAGAAGAAAGTAATCTTTTGATTTCTTCGTTTAATTTAAAAAAAATTTATAAAAACTTATTTTATTTTATATCAAGACAAATATGTATATAAATTAATTAATGATTAAATAAAAAAAGTAAAGTCGCACCAAATATAAGGTGTTATTCCTTCAATACTCAAATAAAAAAAATTTAATTATATACCAATTAAAAATGTTAATTAACTTCATTTATTTATTTCACTAAAAAAAGAAAAATATAAATAGATTAATTAACTTCATTTAATTATATACCAATTAAAAATGTTAATTAAGTATCGTTAATTATTTTTATTAAGAATTTTGTTAATATTTGCAGTTAAATATAATTTTAAAATAACTATATAAATAGATTAAATTAATTAAAAATTATTTATAATTGGATTAATAAAATAGGATATGTTTTTCGATATATTTGAGTTAAAAAGAAATAGTAATCCACGTACGTAAGTAAGATAGGGGCAGAAAAGTATATAAAAATAAAAAAATAAAGCCTACTTCAATTAATTTCTTCATTTAATTGTAAACAAGAGGGGATGTAGCTCAGATGGTAGAGCGCTCGCTTAGCATGCGAGAGGTACGGGGATCGATACCCCGCATCTCCAAAATTTTTCGATTTATTTTTCAATCTCTGTCTACGGACTTGCACGGATGGGAGTGTTCCATTGTTACCCATGCCTATTTCTTAAAAGAGCAAATGATAATATATTTACTTCAACTTAAGCTGTTATTATATATATCATCATTCCATCGTTTTTTCTCCATATTTTTTGAAAATTTGGACAATTATTGGCCCTGACATCAAATTTCTTCCTAGTTGCACATATTTATTGTTGTCCCATTTTCTGTTTTACCTACTCTATGGTATGGAAATAATCCTCAATGTATTACTCTTTTCAAAAATATATAATTTATGGTAGTTTTAAACAAACATGTTTACTTAATATGGATCTGAGATATGAAAATCCTTTTTCCATCTATTATATATATATATATATATATATATATATATATATATATATATATTACAACCTCTGCTATACCTTAATCTGATTATTCTCTTAAGTTTACTTTGCTTGAAACCACATCCTTTCCATGAATGTACTTTGGTATATATATATATATATATATATATATATATTACAACCTCTGCTATACCTTAATCTGATTATTCTCTTAAAAAATCTGGCATTACGTATGAGAGCTTCAATGATCTTTAAGTCTGCATCTTCTGGGACCTCTAACCTTCGAACATATCCATATTCCCACCAATGGCCACACCTCCAATCACTTGCCTTTGATTCTTTTTGTGGCTTCCACTCTCCACTAATCTCCACAACCTTCCCATTGTCAACATGGACTTCAATGTTACTCATCCCAGTTGCTGTTTTAACAAAATCACAAGTGTTAAATGCTTACTTTTTTACTAATCAAGCACTTTTCAATCATCCCATTCACAACTCCATTCAAAACAATTATTTCCATTTTTAGAGATAAAAAATAAAAAATTATAGAAACCAAATCAATATAAACTTATTTTACATGTGTATTTGTTTTGGGGTTTGAAACTCATACCCTTGTTTGTTTCACATGTGAAACATTATAACTACGAACTCACATTAAACTGGACTAAAGATACATATGTTTAAAAGTGAACTGTTATTCTCATTTTCAAATATTTGATCTAGCTAAAGAAAATTATGATAGCAAGGTGGAGTTTCTCTAGTTCAACAACATATAAATTCCTCCAAGATATAAAATTTGTTCTGTTCTTATAATTTGCACATTTTAAAAAGGATGGGTTATATGACTTGTTTAATACACATTCAAATTATGAAATTGGTGGGTGAAATTGCAGAACTTTGTGGTACCTGGTATTTCTGCCTTTAACATGTAAGCTTCATCTTTTTGATACCAATCCACAGTGTTTTGGTTGGAGCTTCTCAGATGAGACAGCAAGATATCTGACTCAAACTCCCAAAGAGGGAAGGCATCAGAAGGATCAAAGAACTTCCCGAACAACATTGGACTGAAAAGTGATGCATCACCAAAAATCTTGTGCACTGTTGGATTGCCATGGCCGAATAATCTTCTGAAAACATCTTCTCCCAATGGAACACACCATTTGTGTGGACTTTCATCATCTGTTCCAACTTGGAGCTTCTTAGAACCAGTCATTGAATGAACAAGACTGAAGAATTGAGAGTGTGGTAGAGGGAAATTTTCTGCTCTTTCTCTTGTGGTGGGAGGGAAGAGAATTGATAAAGTATAGAATAAATTCATTTGGAATATGTGGAAGCCTGTAAAGCTAAGAAGAATATTTTCTTTTCCATACCTTACTTCAACTGAAAGATAAACTATGTCAATCTTCATTGCATATTTACAGAGTATATATAAACAAACTTCCATATGACTTTTACTTTTCAAGACAAGAAAACAAAAATATAATGACTCCATATAAAATAACAAAACCTATCTTTTTTTATTATTATTTAGATATGAAACTAAGTGTTGCAATATATCGAATGTTAACTTTTCATATGGCAGTTAAGATGAGGTATAAAAGTATTAAAACAACACATTGAGTGACAATTAAAATTTGCGAAAGAGAGTTAACGCCTGGAGTTGATGTGAAGAAAAACTAAAAAATTAATCATTTTACGTGCTTATCTCTTACTATTCTCATTTAAAAATTACCTCTCCTTTGAATAATAACAACTTCCATACAAGAATTGTATATGTAACAGTATTTCTAATTATCTTTAGCTTAGATTCATGTTTTAATATAACAATAAGGGTTGGGTTTATTTTACGAGTGTTATATGTTGTTATAGTTTTAATCTCAACTAAAAAATTCATATTGTATAATCATTTCTAGAAATATATTATAAATGTTTATGTTAAAATCAATATTTTTAATGTTCATTCATTATCTTTCAACATTAATATTATTTTTAGTAATTATGATATAGATTCATATTTTTTATTAATAATGATTAACATTGTTGTTGAATACAACATAATTTGTTCATAGTCAAAGTTATAATCATCTAGAGTCAAATTCTCTAAAGTAATTATCTCTTATCTTTTATGTATTAAAGAACATTATGAAAATTACCTATTCACCCATTCATATACATAATATTCTCTAACTTTCTCTAACATTATAAATTTGCTATTGCATCATGATTCTTTTTATTCTAACTTATGTCAAATGCTCGTTAAAAACATTTTAACCGTTGCTCAAAACCATTTTGTGGATTCATTAATTGTTTTCTGTATCATTAAAATTGTGGATTCAATTTTTCAATGTTGTGAATATCTTTTTACAAAATAATTATGTTTTTAATATAATTAAAATATTTTATCTTATTTTATAAAAAATATCAATTACTTTATTTAAATTGTAACTTTTGACATTAATATATATATATATATATATATATATATATATATTGTTGATCGATTTTAATAATTAAATTTAAAATAAATAATATATGATCAATAAATAATAAATAAATATAAAAAAATAAAAATATAAAAGATAAAATTATAAATATACAAAATATATATATATATATATATATACATTTATATTTAATAATTATAAGTTTTGAAACTTAAATCATAAATATAAATATATATATATATATATATATATATATATATTAATGTGTATAATTTTAATTATAAAAAAATAAAAATCTCATAAAATGATGATTAATTAGGTTAAATTAGAATAATATAATTCAAGAGATATTCTTAAATAAATTTTAAATAATACATGATGAATTGTTTTTATAAATACTGCTTAATAATATTAAAAATTTATGAATATGAAATTAACAATTTTTTTAGTGATAATTAAAACCTTATAGAGTAATTAATAATATATATAATAATATACAAAAGCTAAATATTTTTTAATTATATTAAATACATATTTATTATAATTATTAAACAAAAAATATATTTTATAATTTTCTTTATTACATATTAAATTGGTATCTTGCACGAAGGTCAATTAAACATCATGAACATGGGAACAATGAAAAAGTGAAAAAAATAAAAATGATAGTGAGATTTTCGTTTTTTTTTTCAATTTTAGAATGGAAGATGGAATGTTCGAATTAAAAATTTTCTAAATATTTCACAATTAATAAGTGAGAATTATTGTAAAAACTTAAAATTTGTAAACATATAAAGTACAAAATATGAATCACGGACGGTGTTAGAGTCCTTATTATCAATGATGTATTTTGTTTCGTTCACTTAATATTAATGATAATTTATAAATATATTCTTCCATCATTTAAAGATAATATAATAATTTATTTTAAAATAATTAAATTAATCAAAACGTTAGTATAATTTAACATTAGTTTTAAATAACAAAAAATTAACAAATTTAAGTTTAATTATTCTGTGTCGCAATCAACCAAAACCAACGTTAACAAAGACACCATTCTCTCTTGCAGCTATTTTTCAAATTTCAAATTTAATAATTTAATATATATAATTTTCGAATTTTCTATAGATTTCATTTTAATCAACGTTGGAATAAGAAAACTCAGTGCAAGGCATTTCGAAAGTGGCAGCAACAACGACTGAATCCACCATCCAGAATATTTTCTGCTATGACGGTTCTTTACGCGTAGAGGGTTCTTCTGTCTGGCGCCAAGAAACTTCCTTTTCCTTAACACCAACTCTCTAATCACATTCCTTCTTTTTACTCGAAAGTCTTTGCTTTTCGCCCTCTTTTTACCACTTATGACAGACTTTGCTGTACACGGAAAAAAATAAAAAATTGTCACAATCAGCAACGTTTCATGGTCAACAACGCCAAAAGCCGTCCTTTTTGAGCTTGGATCCTGCAAGAAGCAAATACAGTTTTCTTGAATCTTAATTTGGAGCTCTAGTTTGTGTTTTTACTTGTAGGGTGATTTTGATGCTTCAACAACACCTAGCCAATATTTTGCTTTTGTTTGGAGTGGATTTTTTATTGATGCATGTGGTGGGGTTTGACTGGGCTTGATCCGATTCGATAAAAGTTGGCAGCTTTGAAGAGGGGCAAGTGTTTTTTGGGGCTTGCTTTTGTTCTTTTTGTTTGATCTTGAAGTTTTTATATTTGGTAGAAGCTCTTGGTTGGGCTTGGGGGTTCAACTCTGTAAGGTACTGGGTGGTGTTCTGTGGAAGAATTGAAGTGGTTTGTGAAAAGAAGGTTCTTTTTCGTTGGCGGTGTTTGTCGGTGATTCAGGGATTGAAGGGGATTTAGTCCTTTGGTGAAATGAAAAGCATATCAAAAACTTGGAATGGGAATGCAAAAACATATGGTTAACATAAAGGTTACCTTAGGCTTTCTTTTGATTCTTGTAGCAGCAGTCAGCCCATTGGAGAAGAAGGAAACTGAAGATGATTTTCTTAGGAGGTTAGCTAATCCAGAATCTGGATTGTTTGATGAACAGACGGTAAGGCTCCCTTTACTAAGTGTTGGGAGTTTGTAGGCTTCTTTTATATATTTGGTTGTTTCTTTTTTTTTTTTTTTTTGTTCGAATACCAGAAATCCAAAAGTTTATCAACTGATCATAGTATAGGAGCTCAGAAATTTTGGTTTCTTACCTTGAGTGGGGTATTTGCCTTTTTCTGTAAAGGGTGGTGTGAATGTCGTTTTCACTTTTTCATTCTTATCTTGATTGTCTTAGACTGTCATTTCTTTCATTTGACAATCCCAATCCCAATAATGCTGTAAGCTGTTAAGCCCAGAGAGATCCTGTAGCTCATTTGCTTTTGCTGCATAATTTTTAACTCCTAAGCAAATGGTAGTCTCTGGTTAATCTGAAATTTATTTTGGCTTCAGATTGAGGTAGTTAAAATAGAAGTAACCAATTTGGCAATGATTTCAGCCTCACATAGAGGTAGCTAACATCGGTGCCTAAATCCATGATTCCCTGGTGAAGTAGGAAACAAAATATAAGATAAATTTGGGGCTCTCAAGATTTGGTCAAACTTGGTCTCTTATACTTTAAATCGTTCACATTGGTCTTTGTATTTTTATCATTGTTTATTTCGGCCACAATCGTTGTTTTGGGACTATGGTAAATTTTGACAGAAAATTGAGGGACCTAAAACACATTCTTCTTAAGATTACGATCTTCTGACTGATATTTGAGACTAGAGCTGTAGAAGTTGCTCCAATATCTGTCAACTTTTTGTGTGGACTTCGAACCTAAAAACTGTCTGTGAGTGATATTGATTGCTAGAGACATATCATTTAGATTAAATCCAAGTATTTCCCACCTTACTGTGCCCATTTGGCTAAGTCTTACTAGTTAAAAGCTTTAGTCAGCAGAATTCTATGGTTATCTTCTGTATAATTCATGTGGCAAAGTGGTTAGTAAAGAGGGATGACTATAGCTGTCATGTTACTACTAGTTATTTTCCAGCATGCATTGGGGTCTTACATTGAACAGTGAACTATGCATCATCTTGTTTTGCATTTTTCCGTGTCCACATATTCAAAACTTCCATCCTTAACCCGGGATCTTTCATTTGCAAAGTTTTAGTTTTAGTTTGTTGTATGATTTCCTTAGTATATCATTCTAATTCCAACACATGATCATCTACTAGATACTATTTTACGTGAGCTGTGTTCACTTTAGAAACACAAACTTGATTGAGCACAATTATAAAATGTATCTGTACTTCTACCTCAATGAGCTTGTTCTCAAATTCTATTACCCTTTACATGATCGCTTGAGTGTTCATTCCAATTTATTAGGTGAAGTTTCTAAATTTTCTTTTTGTAATTGTTACTAATTGTCATCTGACACTAAATTACAGGGACTTCATTGTTTGATGATTAATTGTTAGATTTGGTAACATAGAACGGATTACATTATGTGTCCATGATTGCTAAAAATGGATGGATAGACTCTAAAAGTTGTTAAGTTTCATTACTGCAGGCAAATATCTTATGGACATATTGCAGGGAAGATTTATTTCATTTAATCAAAGATGTTGAGAATTCCGATTTATGCCTTTCAAGGGAATTATCTGGAATCACCAATACAATCAGTTCAAAGATTCAACCATTAGCACAAGAAGAAATCCAAAAGTTTATCAATGCTTACTGTCCGCAATTCAAGGAGAACATTCTTCACTGTTTGAGAAAAAATAATCTTCCATTACCTGTTTCAAGAAAAGAGGATGATTCCAAGATTTGGCATGTCATTTGTTCGGGACCACTTTTTTCGAGAACCAGTGTTCCTGCAAGAAATTTTGGTCGCATTTTGCTCCAGCACATATCAGTAGCACTTAGCCCAGGCCCTGCACCCAGTTTAACACCATCTTCTGAACCCAGTCCAGCACCATCTTCTGAACCCAGTCCAGCACCATCTTCGGGACCCAGTCCAGCCCCATCATCTGAACCCAGTCCAGCCCCATCACCTCATGCTCCCACACCTCATCATCTTCCTGGACTGCTGCAACCTTCTTTCGCACCAACATCTTTTTTCCCAAAATTGACACCTCCAGCAGCTTCAGATATTTCTGCTCCTCCATCTTCGGACATTCTCAAACAGGAAAATAATCATAGTAATAAAAAAACAGTTGTTCTTGCTGTAGTTATAACTGCATTGGTTACATTTATAGCTGCAGCACTTCTCTTTTTATGCTGGAGCCGGTATCGTAAGACTGGCCATGTTAGACTAAATGATGATAGGCCTCTTCTTAGCTTGAGCATGAGTGACTACTCTGTTGGTATGTATTATGTTACCATTCATTTGTACCTTGTTATAATATGTTGTACTAGTCTTGACAAAGTGGACTTTTATCTTACAGGTCCTTCCAGTTATTCTTTTGGAAATTCAGTGAAAGGGGAGAAACTTGCGTTTCAGTCATCTAGTAATAGTTTAGTAGAGAATAAGAAGTACTCGGTGCAAGAAAGTCAGTCAATAGGAGCTCTTAATGCTGCTACAGGATCACCATTTGAACTGAAACCTCCTCCCGGGAGGCTAGGAATCATCCCTTCTGGAATGCCTCCTTTAAAACCTCCTCCGGGCAGGTTAAACCCTCTTCCTCCTGAACCACCTTCATTTAGGCCCTCTGGTAATACTGCCCCGGCATCTACTACTGCCATTGCTGCTGCTGTTCCTCCTCGTGCCCCTCAAAGGCCTGCCATGAGTAGCATTCCACCACCCCAACTGCCAATGGGTGCCAAACCTAGCCCGCCCCTACCACCACCACCAGCACTAGCTGGTTCCAGACCAGGTCCTCCTCCACCACCTCCAGCACCAGCTGTTTCCAGACCTGGTCCTCCTCCTCCACCACCTCCAGCACCAGCTCGTGTCAAACCTGGTCCTCCTCCGCCACCACCCCCAGTACCAGGTGGTGCCAAACCTGGTCCTCATCCACCACCACCTCCTATGAATGGTGTAGCTCCTCCTCGACCTCCTCCATTTGGCTCAAAGGTGCCACGGCCTTTGGCCAGTGGATCAAAAGCTGCAGTGGAAGCCAGTGTTGAAGGTGATGCTGATGCTCCCAAAGCCAAGCTAAAGCCCTTCTTCTGGGATAAGGTTCAAGCAAACCCAGATCAATCGATGGTTTGGAATCAAATCAAATCAGGATCATTCCAGTAAGGAATAAATACCAAACCTCTTTTGCTTGTCAAGGATAATTTATTATTAATATGCTCAAATTGACAAACATTTTACAGGTTTAACGAAGAAATGATAGAGACGCTTTTTGGCTATAATGCTATGGATAAGAACAATGGTCAAAGACAGAAAGAGCCTTCCTCCCAGGATCCTTCACCCCAGTTTGTCCAGATCATTGACAAAAAGAAAGCACAAAATTTATTGATTCTGTTGCGAGCATTGAATGTGACAATGGAAGAAGTTCGTGATGCACTTTATGAAGGTGCTTTCTTGTTCCTTCAATGTTCTCAAAAATTGCTCATAACTGTAATATTAATATTAGGTTCTTCTAGTAAAACAATACATATTTGTGCACCCATAGTTGCCCTAAAATGCAGTAGACTTGCAGTCTCATACAGACTCTTTCAAACTAGCACCATGTCCTTGCTGTTGAGAAGGATAGATTATTGTCTTGTTGATAGGTTTGAATGTTCTAAAATTATTTGATTGTAATAATGTTGAGTATTATGGAAGATAGATTGTGGTAGTCCTGCCTATGCTGTTGAGATGATTTTTTTGCGAAGAAATGGATTAATGCCTTTAAATCATGATGAAATTTATTGATCATGAATAATATAATATATAGAAATCTAAAAGTAAAATTGTTTAGTTGTATTGTTTCACTTGTATGAAAGACTTTGAAACCTCTTTTTGGCTGAACAAGAAATGGATTAATGCCTTTAAATCATGATGAAATTTATTGATCATGAATAATATAATATATAGAAATCTAAAAGTAAAATTGTTTAGTTGTATTGTTTCACTTGTATGAAAGACTTTGAAACCTCTTTTTGGCTGAACAGGACACGAACTACCCTCAGAATTCCTTCAAACTTTGCTAAAGATGGCACCAACATCAGATGAAGAACTTAAGCTCAGACTTTTTAGTGGTGATCTATCTCAACTTGGACCTGCTGACAGTTTCCTCAAGGCCCTGGTTGACATTCCATTTGCATTCAAGAGAATGGAAGCTCTGCTGTTCATGGGCTCATTTAAAGAGGAGCTTGGAACTACTATGGAGTCTTTTTCTATTTTGGAGGTATGTATGTACATGCAGTTGTATTGCTTATGCTCTTTCTATCTCATGAATCATGCTGTTTTATGTTGCATACATATTCGTTTTAATATACATGTAATACAATTAAGCTTATGATTAATATGAAATTCTATGACTTACATTGCAGTATTGATCGGTTAGTTTTAAAAATGCTATTGAGAGAGTGATGACTTTTCTTATATTTGTGTTCATATTTGCTTAATTTTTTTATCAACCTACCTTGGAGAGTAATCTTATTCTACGTGCAACTGTATGTGATATGTCAGGTTGCTTGTAAGGAACTAAGAAGTAGCCGGCTGTTCCTGAAGCTTCTTGAAGCTGTTCTCAAAACTGGCAACCGAATGAATGATGGAACATTCCGTGGTGGTGCACAAGCATTTAAACTTGACACACTTCTGAAATTATCCGATGTAAAAGGAACAGACGGGAAGACTACACTCTTACACTTTGTTGTTCTAGAGATTATCCGCTCTGAGGGCATAAAAGCCGTCCGAAAGGCAAAAGATAGCCAGAGTATATCCAGTGATGACCTTCAGGTTAGTACTCAAGAAACAGAAGAAGCTCAATACCATGAAATTGGCCTTCAGGTGGTTTCAAACTTGAGCAGTGAACTTGAGAATGTAAAAAAAGCATCAGTTATAGATGCTGACATCTTAACAGGAACCACTGCCAAACTTGGCCATGGTCTTGTAAAAACACAAGACTTGATAAGCAAAAACATGAAGAATGTGGAGGAAGACAGGGGGTTTTGTGAGACGGTGAGAAGTTTCGTGCAGAATGCTGAGGCTGATGTTAAGAAACTGCTGGAAGAGGAGAAGAGGATTATGGCTTTGGTGAAGAACACTGGTGATTACTTTCATGGGAATGCTGGGAAGAATGAAGGCATAAGGTTGTTCATAGTAGTACGGGACTTCTTAGTGATGCTGGATAAGGTGTGCAAGGAGGTGAGAGACACACAGAAGAGGCAAGCAAAAACAGTAAAACAAGAGAATACGCGAGGATCATCTTCCTCTGAAACACATCCACCACCTGATTTTCGACAGCGGCTTTTTCCGGCAATTGCTGAAAGGAGGATGGAAGACATTAGTTCAGATGACGAGGGTCCATAGATTCAAGTTGAAAGTGGTATTAAAAGGTAATAATAATTGTTAAAAGTCCCAAATATTGATCATTGATATTTGAATTTGAAATGATGGTTCTTTTGGCTTGCTTTTGCAGAGGGATGCTTGCATGTGTTTTTTCATGAATGAGGAAAGTGGCATGTATTTCTTCTATACATCTCAAACTAAATATCATATGTACAGACCTGGCTGGAGCTGCTATGAAGCAATGCAATTGCTTCCTATCACCATTGTTGTGCCCCCCATTGGGAATTAGCTTCATAGTTTGAGATACCCACTTCTTTTTTTGTTCTTCATGATTCTTTATTGAATTCAATATGTTACTGCATTTATTTATTGAAAGGGGCAGGATCTAGCATCATACCTTTCTTCAATGAACTTAGAATTGCTTTATTTTTTACACATCTCGGAAAATCTTCCATTCGGGATTATCATTTATATTAAAGCTAAAGTCTGTTAAATCTTGCTAATTTGAGTTATTTTCATAGAAAGCTATTGCGTAAGTATAATTATTTTCAAGGTTTGTAGTTGGGTGATTCGGATTTAGTCGAATTTAATATCTTTTTTTCATCTTATTCAGTTTAATTATATTATGATTGATATTATAATTGGATTAGAATTGCTTGAATTATAATTTCATCTAAAAATAATTATCTCCTTCTAAAAGAAAAAAACGCCTCCAACTAATTACTATTAATTTTTAAAATATCTATAACATAACGATAATACTTAATATATACATAAAAATATTCGTATTATAAAATATACATCATAATTTTGCAGTTACTTTATACAATTGTTATTTCAATGAGTTAAAAACAGTATTTTTATTAAATATTTATTATATAATTAGGTTGGGTTGACATTATCAAGTTTAAAATTTTAATTTTAATTAGGAATATAAAAAAATATAATTTAATTTGCAAAATTAGGATTTAATTAAGTTAGATTAGTTTACATTCTTAGTTTATAAGATATTTTAGTTAATCAGATTAATTACTACATTGATGTTTTCATAACAATTTATTTTTTCTTTTTGAGAAAAAATGGTAAAAGAAAAGAAAATCAAAGTATGGGTTGCGTATGGGTTTGAAATTAAGCTAGAGTCTAGGCTCGCATCATTAAGCACTTGAAAATAAATTTAATTTAATTATGATCTTCACTACCATTAAAACGTAAGGCCATAACACAAGAATCAGACTTTTTTTTTCCTGCACTTATTTGATGGATGAAAAAGGTACTTTTTAAAAATCCTTATCAGATTCCAGAAAATATTATCTAAATACTTATTTAATGGTGCAGAGAATAATTTTGGAGATGATGACGATGAATACATCTATCTACAACATTGCTTTGTGGGACTATTGATTAACACAACACTTTTATTTTATAGTGGAGTAACTGTAAAATGAAGAATCTGTTACTTCTCAACATTTAATGCAATAACCAAATATTATCTTCAATGTTTTTATTTTTTCTTAAATTTCTTTTCTTGATCTTCATAAATATATTACTTCCAGCTATGGTCCCTAGTATATGACATGTCGTGCATATTATCATAAAATAATAATAAATTTATTTTGGAAACTTTTGAAATTTATAAAAATCAAAACCAACAGAATAAATTGTAAGTATTAAAAAAGAAAATTTTAACATATTTGTAGATGTTAATAATTAATCCAATTTTTATTTTATATTTTCTTTTTTGGGTTTAGGTTAACTCGCATAGGTTTAGCCTAATCCCAATACATTTTTGGGCTATTGAAGCCTGAAATAGCACATAATGTGGGCCTATTTTTATTTTACAACTTGTTGGATTGGGCTTAATTTCACAATAAATACAATCAGACTGTTACTTCCTACACCCCATAATTTTTCCATACCCTAAGTCAAATACTTAAAATATTCTTTTTATAATTTTGGTTTTTACCCTAACTTTTTTTCTTTTACTTGTGTACAACTTCTAAACCTCTATTCATTAGCACCTTCATCCTTTGGTTATTTGATATTTTTTGTGCTATCACCTTCATTAAAGATTTTTTCTAATAATTAAAAATAAGTAATCGTTAATATTATATATAAATTATATGTTATTCATTTAAATTACACAAAAAGAAATAATATTATAAAAATAAGGTTGAATTTCAAGACATCTAATCCAAAATACAATTCCATATTAACTTTTTTGGAACGTCCATTTTAGAATATTGTTACGGAGGGTGAGATGCATTTTTAAAAATTAATTCCAGAAAGAAATCCGAAATATTTTTCCAAAAAATTAATTATGGAAATACATTCTGAAATAATTTTTTAGAATGTATTTCTAGAAAATCGATTTTGAAAATGTATTTGAGACTCACTAATCTATAATACAATTCTCAAAATTTAATTTTAAAAATGCATTATGAGAAATGCATTCCAGAAAATTAATTATAGAAAAATAAGATTTAATTTAATTATGGGGTGCAGAGATATCATGGGGTGCTGGAAGTAACAGTTTACAATCCATATTCATAGTTGAATTGGGTCTCTGAATTGGATGAATGTTTTCTCTCCTCTCTATATCTTCCCATTAACAAAAAATAAAAATAAAAATTGTTTGATATCTTTTAGTCAATTGCGTATTTCACCTCTATAATTTCTTCCCAGACTTTTATTGTAATGATGAAAACAATATTTTAAAATCCTTACAGAAAAATACAATCTGCAATACATTAAAAAAAAAAACTACATTCAGGAATAAGAAATTCGAAATGTATTTTAGAATGTGTAATATATAATTGTTTTTTACTATTTTAGATTGATCACTTTGAAACATCTTATAATAAAATTTATCACAGAGAGTTGTATATTTTTTATTTATTTTTGGTGCAAAAATAAGCTAAAGCTCAAACAATTTTAAGACTATTTTTATATTCTGTATAACAAATATTACACGTAATGTTATGCCATTAAATAAAATAATATTAATATTGCTTTCATTTTGTTAATATTTTAAGAACATATTAAATTTAAAAATTTTGTATTAAATTTTTTTGGGTTAAAGTATCATGTTTATGGTAAATATAAAAAATAATAATACACTTTATTTTTTTAAGTTTTTATTATTGTAAAAATTAATTTAATTAGTATAAAATAATTATTTACAAATTTACTATTATGAATCACTTTAATAAAAAAATTGAACATTAACCCAACAATGAACCCTTTAATTGAATAAGTAATTAAGAATGAAAAGTGTACGCAGAATATAAAATTTAGAAAGGTATGTTATGTATAACGAATAGAAGGAAATAAATTCACCCACCTATTAGTCTTATTTTATTAAAATTATTATTAAGTATTTAATAATTTTTTATTTTATCCTCTAATTTAAAGTCTTATATTCGTGAGTGATTATTGAAAAATAATTATAAAAAAAGAAAATGGCCTCGTCCTTAAATTTAAGGATTCAAAATTATAGTATATGCATCTATTATAATATATATATATATATATATATATATATATATATATATATATATATATATAAACCAGAATCATTTTTTTTATAATATCACCTGAATTGACAACAGTATAAGCCTAAAATTGAATGGTGATTTTAATATCATATTTAGTTTTCATAATTTTTTCTTTCGATTAATAATTTTCTTTATCAGAGTAGACTACAAATAATTGCAGTAGAGGAACGAGTCGCACACAAGACAAATACTAAATTTTTTAATCCTTAAAAAAAAAAGACAAAAAATGTTAGACAAGATAAGGAAGTGAATATCTGAGTGTCACAATTGGCAATTTTTTATTCATATCCATTTAACAAGCCATGTCCCTCACCATTAATCTTGATAAGGCCATGGATGATCACAATTCAGCGTGCATGGGACAAAATTTTCCTCTCTCCCTCATAAATGGTTAAGGTTTTACATTGCAGAGGAAGACCAACTCAATGAAAACAAAATAACACATGCCGTGTTTAAATAACATAAAAACATTTTCATCATAGTTAAGGTGCTGCCAAAAAAATATGAGTCAGGACAATTTTAAAAATGTAATTTTTATATGAAATAAAAAATTAAATGAATTTGATTATATTTGTTTTTAGTATTTAACTTTATATTATATTATATGTTTTGAATTGAAGCAACGTGGTCCAGTGGAGAGGAAAATTTGGGATTGTGTAGCAAGTGGTTGCATTTAATCAATGAATTGAATGGTGGGTTGCACCACCCATGTCCAAACCATAATCAGTGACACTCTGTATGATACTGTCCATGTTTCACTCCATGACTATAATTTCAATTTTACAAGTCACGGCACGAATCAATATATAAAAAAATATAATATTATTATGAATTTTTCTCAATCATAAATTATTCATCTTTCTCATGAAAAATTTTAAACACATTTAAAATTGTGAACACAAACTTGATAATCACCATAAATTCTAAATTTTTGCCTTTGTCTTAACCTTCAATGTAGTTTTCTTCCAACCAGAACCCTCTTTGTCATGTTTTGTCTAATCCATTACAAGCAGCATGACGACAAGAAATGAAGGACTAACAACACGAGGAAGAAGTTACTACTAGCTTGAGTATGTACAACATTTTTATTTTAACCCCTTCACATCTCTGATCTCTCTCATATCTTGCATCTATTTCATCACCTCTTCGACTTTCACAACTTGATAAAATAATTGTTGTGGTCAAAGTTAATAATGAGCTCTCATGTTTTCAAGGGCTCTCTTTCTGCTTTTCATGGCTTGGTTCATAATTATACCCCACTAATCCCCAAATTTAGGGTGAGAAGTTGAAGTCACATTGATGTCTCCAAGAGACCAAAGATAGAGAAAATGAAAGAGTGGGGCTAGCTAGCTCCTATTCATTCATGGTTTTACAAATTCATCACCACTCTTATTATTATGCTCATTTCGAAACATCTTATGCACTTCAAATCACCCAAAAAGAACTAAAATTTTCAATTAGTGAGACAAACATAACATAAAGGAAGCTAAATGATGAACTAATTAAACAAACATATTATATACCACTTATCTTTTCTTTCTTAATCCTTTACTTTCATTATTTTCGTTTCTGTTATCTGAAAAGTGAATTCAAAATTTAAAATGAGGATCTAAACATCCACTAGAAGTAATTGAAAACGAATTGGAAACAAAAAGATTGTACTTTTGGGTACATGTCGTTTAGCCCATTAAGCAAATAGCTGAAACCATGCTTGATACTGGTGTCTGAAAGTGCTTCTTCAAAGAGGTGAAAAAGTGCTTGAGAAGTAAAGGCACTTCGCATGTAAAAGCTGCAGACATCAAAGAGGAAAATCTCAGGCATGTTAACAACCTTTTAGATAAGTTCACTGACACAACGTCATCATTCACATATTAATCACTGTTTGGTTGTTAGACATTATAGTCCAAATCTTAATTCATTCATTAATTAGAATTTGGTGACAACATTTTTATGGATACACGCAATGATTAGTCTTTTTGTGGTATGTAAAAATACGTTAATCAATTATAATTATAATACTAAGATTAATAGGACTGGTAAGAATATATTACATATCCACATGCTTGATTAGAAGACAGTAGTGGTTTGATTAATTATTGAAAGGTGAAAAGAGGAGAGTTAGGGACACAATTAATATTCTCTTGAATGTTAAATCCAATATTTAATTCCCCCAAAAGTAATCCAATATTTAACAATTTAATTGTGGGGTTTAGGGAGTATTACAAAGTTGGGGAAAGTAAAATAAACACTTGAGTGGTCCTTCCTTTGGAACTTGATTGCATGTGGCATTATTTTGTGTTAGACTTTTTCTTCATAAAATAAAAGTTCACACTATGCATTCATGTGCTGACAGCATAGCCAAATATTAAAAGCGACACTTAATTTGTTCCACAAAAACATAAATCACTTTATTATTTTGTGTACTGCATTTTTTCTTCAATTTGGCATACCAAATTTATGTTTTACAATCATTTTTAAGGTAGATATATCTCTTGTAATGTACGAGTTTGTCGCATTCAATATAATATTTTTACAATCATTTTTATTCTTCTCATGAGTCGAACCATTAACTTCCCTAATTAAATAGATTTATATTACTAATATAAATAACTTTACTTGCGGCAATTTATTCTGGAATGATTTTAACATCTCATATATTAACGATTTTTTTTTCTGTCTCACAGTGAAATGGTACAATCTGAGTAACTCACATTTAATGGCGCCCCAGTGCCTAGTTTGTCCAAGTTAGTTGTCATGTTCCGAAATCCCATATCCAAGGGCCAAAGATTCTTGTTATGTTTTTCAAACACCCGTTTTAACTAATGCTCTCATTCATGATTTATCAACCTTTGGATTTGAGTCCCTTTTGTCTCACTTGCTCTCTGATGGGGTCACGGACACCATCCTATGCAACTTGCCTAACTCATTCTGTGTGTTGAATCGGAACTGCTCCTCACACTGCTCTCTTCATGGTAACACCTGTACTTGAGAGTTTTCAAGGTGTTTGATAATATAGTTTGGTGTAATCTTTAAAATTTTGTTCTCTTTTGTCTATCTTGTGAAACATGTTTTCCTGTTAGGTGTAGCCGTTCGGTGCATGGTTGAGTTGTTTTGAGTTGAGTTTGTTTCTTGGAAAGTGAAGGCATTTTCAGGAAAGGAAAAAGGGGGTTGTTTGCTTTAAGCAGAAATAAGCTGAAGTTGTTGTCCTTTTGAGTTTTTTTCCTTCTCTCAGCTTTCACTTAGGAAAAGGAAGGGAAAGGTGGAAAAGGGGAACATGGAGATGGAGCCTTTTGAGAATGAGCATTGTAAGGGAGTTAATTTCAAGAGCACAGAAACTTAGGAGATTCTAGTTGGAGTGTATGGAGAAGGAAGAAAAAAAGAAGATAAAGGGAAGCATTAAGGATAATATGCCAACAGTTTGGTTCTCTCTGAAGAAGTCTTTACACTGCAAATCTGAGCCATCTGATGTTCATGACCCCAAAACAAGGAAGCACTTGAGCACAATCTTGACCAAGAGAGCAGGGAGGTCAGGGTGTTCCAGGTCCATAGCAAATCTCAAGGATGTGATCCACGGAAGTAAGAGGCATCTTGATAAGCCACCAAGTTGCAGTCCAAGATCCATAGGGAGCAGTGAATTCCTCAACCCCATAACTCATGAGGTGATTTTGAGCAACTCAAGGTGTGAGCTGAAAATAACTGGGTATGGAGGCTTCCAAGAAGGGGTTGGCAGTGGTGGCAGCAATGCTGGTGGAGGTAGCGGTGGCTCAACTTTTGTGGGGACTTTGAGGCCAGGGACTCCTGGCCCTGGAGGGCACCCTACGATGCACTACTTTAACCCTTCTTTTAGGACCTCATCCACTCCTCCAAGGAAATCTCCTTTCCTCTTATCAGATAAAGAAGGGTCTGGTCCTCATTGTGCTGGACTTCATCCTAGCAATAGGTTGTCTAGTGAAACAGATTCTAATGGGTCTTCGACTGTGACTTGCCACAAATGTGGAGAACAATTCAACAAATGGGATGCTGCTGAAGCTCATCATCTGTCTAAGCATGCTGGTAACACTTTTATTTTTCTACTCACATTATATCCTCCTACATGTATATAATGTGCTTGCAACCTTCATTATATCATTGACTTTTTATTTTTATTTTTCTTCAATTTGTTATCTGGCGCTCAAATTGGTTTTTCAAACATTCTTCTGACCACAAACGTTCTGGCCACATCTATACCAGATCGACATAGATTTTTATGTTGAAATAAGGAATATTAATATTGTAAATCAATGTACTTTTTCAGTTTGGGACAACATAACTGATTTCACTTTTTCCATTACCTTTTCAATTTATAAGCATACCTATGCTTACGATTCCACACATGTTTACCTTCGAAAATCAAAATATCTAGGAGAAAGTCTTTCTCTCTCCCTTCAACCCATGTAATTTTAATTGGTTGAAGTGTTTAATGACCTGCAAGTTTGTACTATTTCTGTATTGGTTTGACATTTTTAAAGTATCATAATCAAATATTTTAAGTTTAAGAACAATAAGTTTTGGCTTGGCAGTTACTGAACTTGTGGAAGGAGATTCATCAAGGAAAATAGTGGAGATCATATGCAGAACTAGCTGGTTAAAGTCTGAAAATCAGTGTGGCAGAATTGAGCGAGTTTTGAAGGTGCACAACATGCAAAAGACTCTTGCAAGATTTGAAGAGTACAGGGAGATGGTGAAGATCAAAGCCAGCAAACTCCAGAAGAAGCATCCAAGATGTCTGGCCGATGGAAATGAGCTTTTGAGGTTCTATGGCACCACTGTGGCGTGCTCTCTTGGCCTTAACGGCTCTTCTAGTCTCTGCCTATCAGAAAAGTGCTGTGTTTGCAGAATCATAAGGAATGGTTTTTCAGCCAAGAAGGAGCTCAAGGGTGGCATCGGAGTCTTCACAACATCTACAAGTGGAAGGGCTTTTGAGTCCATAGAGATTTTTGGTGATGAACCATCGCAGAGAAAAGCACTCATAGTGTGCAGAGTAATTGCTGGCAGGGTTCATAGGCCACTCGAGAACATTCAGGAAATGGCAGCACAAACAGGATTTGACTCATTGGCTGGGAAAGTTGGTCTATATTCAAACATTGAGGAGCTTTATTTGCTCAATCCTAGAGCTCTTCTTCCTTGCTTTGTTGTGATTTGCAAACCTTGAACCAAAAGGATAATGCCTTACATTGTTGTGTAGTTTTGTAGATCCCTCATTTTGTCCTTACAGATGTTCTTTGTAATCTTTTGAAGAATTTTGATTCTTTCCTCTAAGTGAATTGTGCTTCTTCATGTTCATTGTATGAACCTCCCATTCATACATTTGTAATTTATTTTTTAAATGGTTATGGATATTTTTACATCTGCACTAGCCAACGTTAGGTTCAAGAATCAGAAATAAATACACAAGACTTGTAAGATTGTACAAAACCAGATTTAATAATTGCCCCTCCAACATTTCTTCAAGAGTGCAGTTCCTTGCAGGCTCTGTGTCGGTGTTACATTAATTGGAAGTCTAAAAAATAGAGCCATTTAAATTCGTAATAACCTAGACAACCTACAGATTAAATTTCTCAGAGGCTAATTGGAAAATTAACAATCCTAGTTGCATGTTCCATTTAATTAAGTGGTATTGACTTGGATAAAGTGTGAATGAATTATATTTGGTTTATTTTAATGCAACCCACTACTATTAGATTCCACAAGTGACCACTACTAAATGTGATTGGATTATATTATAATTTAAATAAATATTCTATGTACTCCTTGTTCGTTTTTGGCCAAATTCTGATTATTAATTTTTTTAATGAGTAGAAATTTAGAATATATAGAGTTGAATACATCATCAAATAGAGATTTATCTGTGCTCTGAAATTTAAGTTAGTAACCAATTATGAGATAAAAGTTTATTTGTAAGACATTAACTAATAACTATACTACAGTGGTTACTACCATTTTTACATAATTAATTATTAAAATAATCCAATTCAAACACACATTGTTTAGGGTGATGTGGTTGACCTCTTTATAGCCTTGTGGGTTAACTAAACATGTGCAGTTCTTCAAACTGAGAAGCTCCAACCGAGTACACAAATGGCAAGTTGTTCATTTTGTAATCAATGTGTCCCAGATAAATGGCATGTGACCCTTCTTCCATGGTTTTGGTTCTAGTTGGGACAGAGGTGATTCTAAACATTAGGACAAACAAAAAAATTGGTTTTCAAAAGTGAGATATTCTGAGTTGAGGTTTATGTTTTGTCTCTACTCCACTTTGTGGTTTGAAGGGTTTTGTTAATGGCCATATTTGTCAGCTATCCATTCTTGAAGTTTTTTGCATATTGATGTAAACAGTAACAGATTAAGATAAGGTCTGGACCATGTGTCATAACCTCGGGGCAGGTCTCTTTCTGATGTCACTTTTTATAGGAGGAATATAAGATTATTAGATGACACCTACATGTCAAATTGGTTAAGATGAATTTTTTTTTATCAATTTGGTAAGATTATTTTCTTCTCCTTATTCATTTTTACATTATCACTCTAGAACAATTAAACCTATTCACAACCAAGTCATGTAGAAACAAATGCTGATATGGTAAATTTATTGGTCACTTGAGAAGGCCATGAGTCCTCTGAGCCTGTACCTTGGTAGGGTGGGGGTTGGTAGTGTCACTTAAATACTGTAGCATCTGTACAGCTTTCAGTTCTCATGGCACATGCATCTCATAAATGTTTACTAACCCTCATTATATTTCCCTGCTTTGGAATGGAGGTCATTCAATGAAACTCCACATATTTCAAAATTTGAAGTCTAGTTGGGTTTGGTAAAAATGACCTAGCTTGGTGTTGCTGACTTACAGTGAGGCTGCAGAAACCATGATAAGCTTTTTTTGGCTCATTATCTGAGCATCGGTTTATGCACCATTTTAAGAGCTTCCCTATCTATTGTTTGAAGCAACTTTGCCACTTGCTGATAACTTTGCAATAAGAAACACAAGGATCCTGTTGGTTAAGAAATCAAAAGAGTTAAACGCGAAAAATATATAAAAATATTTTAAAAAGTTATAGAAAAGCATACTTGTATGTGTTTTAATCGAAAATATTTCACTTATAATTTCTTAAAAAAACACTGGTTAACATTTGACCTTAAAATAATAATAACACAGTGAAAGGCTAAGATGTCAAAGATACCAAATAGCTCAACCTCCCCAAAAATGGGATTCAATTTTGATATAACTAGACTTTGAAGTTATTAAAGTTTCTTATTGTGTTTACCCCTTTGGCTATTTCTAGTTCATAACTAATTTTTCTTCTTGTAAATGACTTTGGTCCCCATCTAGACCAAAAATATCTATTTTGTGAAAGTACAATTAGGTCACACCTATTCAGCAGGTTTGCCTCTGTTAGCATCTTGTCTTGCCTTCATTTACTCTACAATCTCTAAATAAGGAGTTATCACCATTGAAGTTGTTGATCCAGATTAAGACATAACTTTAACTTCTTGGTGTTTTTCAACTCATCACAATCTTGGTCTAATTAATTGTCATATATATCATGCTTGAAATTTTTGGTGTCTGGCCTCTATTTCATTGGTAATTAATGATGGGTATGAATTGTTGAAGCCATAATTCAAGGAAGTTGTTGGTTTGGAAGAGGAATACATTTATTCGTGTGACAAAATAAAAAAGCACAATTTTTAAAATCATGTAAAATTGTATGAACAACTAATTACTAAACAGGAGGTAAATAACCATAGTCTTGGCAGCATATAATTGTTTGATACATTATATCTTCAAGATCATGCTTGTAATTAAACCCCAAATCTTCTAGCTTCTTTGATGAGATCTCACAAGAAACTTTGTCATAAATTTTTTCAGTCTTCATCAAGATATTTGAACATGAATACACTTTGGAAAGAAGAGTAGCCAAGTTAGACAATGAACAACTGTGGCTGCTACATATATATTGACCTTCTGCTTTAGCTTGCTCCATTAGGAATATGTGAGCATTGCATATATCTTCAATGTGAACTAATGCAATTGACCCCATTCGTACATTTACAACAGATAATATCTTGAAGTACTCAGTTTCACCTACATTTATGATCAACATGGTAAGTGATAATAACTCAAATACTTTTTATGTAGAATCTAATGTTGCATTGTTGGTACTTCATGATACACATAGAAGCATAGAGCTACAAGTTATTTGAGGCACTTGACATAAAAGATACTTAAGTTCACAAATTCAATAATACTTATAATTTTAATAACAGATCAATTTTGTTTAAGGATTAGCTAAGATAATAGTTTTCTAATAAAACCACCTGTTAAAGGAGACAATAGAACTTTAACACTTGTTGGTACATTAGCAGTGAAGAATGGGCCTGCAACAGTGCTTGTAATGACTGACACAAGATCAATACCATTATCTTTTACAAATTGAAATGCTGCATCTTCTGTGAGAAGCTTTGAAAGTGCATAAACCTGTCACCATAGAAAAAGTCCTTAAGGAATGAAACCAATTTGGTGTAAATTGCAAGTGAACAACTTTTGAAAATATTACTTATTACCCATTCATTCGCTTGTGTATTCCACACATTATCAGGTTGGATTTTGCAAGATTCATCCACCGTAGCTTTCCACATTCCATGGCTGTCTTTGACAGTGATGGTACTAATGGAAGATGTGAAGACAACCCTTTTCACAGAATTGGATTTCAAACAAGACTTAAGAAGGTTTATGGTTCCTCTGATTGCAGGGTCAATTATGTTTTCTTGAACAAAAGACTCTGGCAATTTAATACAAATAATATTTCTCAGTTACCATAATACAAAAGTTCAAAAGTGAAAAATTCTTGTTCTTGTGTTTGTCAGGTTCATGAATAGCATTAAATATTCATGACATTACCATTGTTTTCTTTCTCACTAACATTGAATTCCATTGAAGCAGCAACATGGAACACACCAACACACCCTTTTACAGCCTCATCAAAGCTTCCTTCTTCGTTCAAATCCGCTTGGAAAAATCTCAATTTATCACCACCATTCCACAGAGATAGAAGATGCAATAACTTTGCTTTTACATAGCCAAAAGAAGTGAAAAATGAATCATAATTATTATATAGAAATATTTTTATCAGACAAAATTAAGCATATAATAAAAAAGAATTTGATTTTGAATTTCATTAGTCTAAAAACTACCGCAAAAAATTATTGATCCTGAATGAAATTTTTACTTTTTTTCTGTTTTCTTCTGAAAATAGAATTTGTGACTATACATATCTTATACGAGCCTAATCAAATTTTATGAACTAACTAATTTTAATAGTATTAAACTTCCTGTTAAGATTGGTATATGTAAGATTGTTCAGATTTTAAGAACATTTTAACAATAAAATAAAACAGTAGTCATGGAGAAGTTAATAATGGGCTTCTAGACTAGAGTCAACAATAAGGGCTCAAATACAGCAAAGAGACCAATAATGGGCTTCAAAGAGACCAATAATGTATGAAAAAAAAAAAAAAAAGAGACCAATAATGAGATGATGTTTAGATAGAAGAATTTTCAAGATAAAGGAAGAGAAAAGCAAATGTTTTAATTTTTAAATAAATAACAAGTTTTATGAATTTTATAAATGAATTTTGAAAAGAATTAAAGTTACTCTAGTTTATTATATTATTTATTTTATTTTAAAATATTATAAATTAGAGGATATTTATTGAAATGAAAAATTAATTATATTCAATTCTTACACAGACAGTTAAATTTGAGTTGAGTGGCTAATTGTAACTGATAACTACACATTATATTCTTTCTCTCATCTCCATATCTGACAATCACCTGAAAATTATATTAGAGAAGAATACTAACCAGGATCTCTGACTGTGGCATGAACAATGCAACCCCTTTCAAGAAGAGCTTCCACTAGCCATGAGCCAATATACCCTGTGGAACCTGTAACACAGTATTTGGCTTCAGGAACAACTTCTCCATTGCTTTTCACCATCTTCAGCACTTCCTCCATTCCCTTCTTCACAAACTCCTGCAAACTAAACCAGCATGATTCCTTTATATGAAAGAGCATGGCTTAAGGTAAAGTGTTTCAACCATGTTGATTCTCTATTTAATAATATTAATATGATCTTTTCAATATTATAGTAGTAGGCAAGCACCAAGCACACAATATATGGCATGTTTTTTTAGTATAACACCAAGTCATCCTTTTTTTAGTATTAGGGCATGTTTTAAAAACTTTTTTCTATATACTTTTGAAGTAAAGAATAATATTTTTTTTTTCAATCTAAAATTAATATATATGTATATTATTTTATGGAAAAAAATATCTGAATTTACTGCTATAATTATGCACATATTATCGTCTTGTGCTAGTCTGGGATGATGACAGTGACAAATCATTTCAAATTTTGGCAATGTTGTGATCTTACAGAATTGTGATTCTTAAAAAAAACACATTCTTTTATGTTTTAGGAGTAACAAAAGTATCGTATGTGAAATCCCAGATTTTGTTCCTTAATTAGTTGCACAATTGCTGTTATTTCGTTACAATTCTTCAGTTACTTCATCTTTATTATAATAATATCGATAAAACTAATTATCACGTGTGATTATATTTTTAAAGCGGATAATAATTTAAATATAAAAATTAATCTAATGATATTATCAAAAACCAAGATTTGTGCATTTAGAAAGCAAAATACGACAAGAGCAGAAGAGAACTCAAATTTGGAAAGGAAGGGAAAATGATATTCTTCTTCTGAAATGTCAACTTTTGATGATGATGTGAGCATTAATAATAATGGTAGGTCTCAATCTCTATCATCTTCATGTTTGGTTGAAAGGAAACAGAGTGACAAAACTGAATTTCTAAATCTAGAGGTTACAGAATAGTGACTGATAATTAATATTTTAGTATATGATAAATTTATAAACATAGTAACTTTCAATTTGGTTTGAAAAAAAAAAAACTAGAAAATTTTGTATCTGAATTGAAAAAGTTTGGATAATGCATTATCTAGGTGGAGAATGCGCATTAGTACTTCAGTAATGTTGATCCATTAATTCACGGCACATAGGGAAATTGTACATTTTTAGGGTTTATATCCATATCTTACATCTCACAATAAAGATGTTGATGTAAACTTATATCTCATGTTAATTTGGATGAAGCCAAATAAACTAATTTTTTGTGTTAGGGATCCAGTGGTTAAGATATTTTGTCAACTTTTATTTTTAATTTTTTTTAAAAACAAAAACATAAAAAAAAATTAAAACTTTTTTCAACAAAATAATTATAAAGAAAAATTCAATCATTGAAGACTGTTTTCTAAAACAGCTCCTTCTATATTCTTTAAATCTTCAAACATGGTGCTTTATATATTTTTTTATCTTCAAACGTGGTGCACATAATTAATATCCGTATTTGTCTATTTTTCTTTGGATCTTATATGCATACCTGTTTCATTATCAATTGGAGTTTTTGAGGAAAGTCAACTGCACAAAGTCAACCCACCAACGATGTAGTCTTAATTATTTGAATTGGGTTGAGTTTGAATGAATTTGATTTAATTTTAGTCTTAACAATTAATTGAATTTAGAACTTCGCCAAGTTTTACTATTATGTTATGATTGAATATAAAATTTAAAATAAAATTAATTCTATTAATCTCTAAGATATTTTCATTTTGAGTTGTCGATTGAAATTTACCGCAAATATAGTTTTATTTAAAATTAATTTATGTAAATTGTTAAAATTTTACCCTTTTCTTGATTCAAAAGTTGTATGGTTATTATTTTATGTGGAGTTTAAGTCCAAAATTAGACCATGTTCTTGTATAGTTTAGGTTTAGTTCCACATGGTTTAGGCCTGAAATCGAGTCAGGCCCACATTGGTATTGACCCAAAAAAAATAGGTATTTTTACGTGTTTTGGAGGATCAATAAGATTAATTTCTACGTGAATTCAGAACATGAAGATTGATTTTAAAGTCAATTTGGAGGATCAATAGTGACAAACTAATTGTAAAGACCAATTTAGATATTTTTCTTATGCAATTTATTTATTTTTAACTATAAAACAAGTATGGAAAGGACACTAGTTAAATTTGAAAGGATGTTTTCTTTCTCTTCACTTCCATTAGTGAAAGTAATAGTATACAAATTTTAGTGTATCATTTCTCCAAGACAATGGAACACAAAGAACATTTTACACAGCAGTATACAAACCAAATCTACAACCATGTACATCCAAATCCAAAACCAAAAGGTGAAATGTAAAACAAAAATGAGGTTAAGATAAAACAACATTCTAAACATCATACATCACTGTTGCACTATCCTTAGATTTTTCTCTCCTGTGGTCAGTGACAGAAATCTTAGTCTCTAGCTGATCAGGATCAATGAAAACTTCATCTGTGGCTGACAAGGAATTTCTGTGATGATTCCCATGGTGCCTTGATTTAAGGATCCTTGTTAACACTTGAACTATGTCCCTCAAAGAAGGACGTTTACTTGGAGCACGGTTGATGCATTTGTGGGCTAGTGCTGCCACTTCATTCAGTTCCTTCACATCAAAGTTTCCTTCAAGGTGAGAATCCACAATCTCCTCCCACCCAACTTTTCCTCCGATGTTCATTGCTGCCTAATCATCCATCAGTGACATTGGTTAGCCTAGAAACATGATGTGCTAAGTGAACAAAGGTAACAAGTTAACAACTATCTTCGATTTTGACATGTTTTGTTTCTTGACCATGACAGTGGTCATTCACTCAACCAAGATGTGACATTGTCATCAGATAGAGTCATCTAGCAGCTAATAGGGGATTGGTGCTTAGGTGCTATTCTTGAAATTGTTATGCATTATGAAATACTAGGACTCAAGTACAAGAAAAGACTCCAATCCAGAAGATTAATTAATTAGAGAAAAGAATCTCAAGATTTTAAGTACATGTCATGTAACTCCTTCTACTGGGAGTCCTAACATTATACTTCTCAATTGTTACCTAACAATTATCCTCAGTATATTTTGTAGGGAGAAAAAGTGATCTTACAAGCTCAACATAATCCATAAGACCCTGCTGAGGGTTTCTGCCAGCTATAATTTCAAAGAGCAACACTCCAAAACTGTACACATCACTTTTCTTCGTGAATGTTCCTGAAGATATATACTCAGGATCAAGATATCCAAAGGTACCACGAATAGCTGCATGTTTATCCACCATCTCTTCTCTTGAAAGTCCAAAATCAGCAACCTGCTTGATTCAACATTAACAACTATTCATTAAGAAGCATCGTAAGTTCTAATAGCAGCAAATGACCATTGACAAGTTGACAACACTATTCTACAGTGTGAGTATTTCTTGCAATTTGCAAGCTACGTTTTTTGTGATGAAGATGGTGGATGAGTAAGAAGGACATACCCTGGCTCGCATGGACTGATCCAGCAGAATATTGGAAGATTTGATGTCTCGATGGATTACAGGAGGAACTGCCTGAAGTGACAATACAAACAATTATAGCAATATAAAAGTTATAGTTTGATTGGTTCAGATCACATGGAAATTTACCCCATCATGAAGATACTCCAAGCCTCTTGCTACATCTAAAGCTATGTGAACCCTCAAATCCCAGCTCAGTGCTTCATTCACATCATCTGAATATAGAGACAATAAAAGCATATTATTCAATCTTTTATTGCACATCCAATACACCAAAAACATCATTTGAGGCATACAATGAAGCACTACTATTCCATAACAGGATGTAGACCCCAAATAATGTGACGACAATTAAAAGTGGTTAAGGGTTTGATTCTCACGTGGGGAAGAATCTGTTGAAAGAGGTCATCTACTTAAATGTTTTCCTACCTAGATGGATTAGTCTCTGCAAAAGAAGTTTTCATATATTTACATATTTCCACGAGCACATTCAGGAACCAGAGTTTGTATAGAAGAACAGTCTACACATGTCATACAAAAGAAGAGATAGATGACTTACTACTATACAAGTGGGATGCCAAGTTACCATTACTCATGTATACATATACAAGCATATGTTGCCCCTTTTCTGCACAATATCCAACCAAATTCACTAGATTTCTATGGTGTAACCTTCCCAACAACATGACCTGAGATAAATTAGAACATTTAAGGTTACAATTGAAAATTACCCTGGAGTAAAACTAAAGGCAGTGCAGAAAATGAATGAATATGATAAAGACTGAAAAGCTGCAATGTCATCAACTTCAGCTAAAAGTAAACGTGCCTATTTAGTCACTAATTAGTTATCTGAAGTAGGACAGACAGAAAAACCTGAATTTTTTCTAATTTAATATGGAAATAGTCATGTTTTCAATATTCCAATTTTCCAAAACGATATTTATACATCAGTTTTAATTTACATTACTGCCATATTTTTCCTCAGCAGTCTGACTTCATAAATTTTCTCAAGATACCAAATCTAATACACTTGGGCCTGAAAAATTTGTCTTGAAACACAGCATACTTCTATCAGTGGTGTTGCCAAGTAATGAAATTGACATTGGCAACCTACCTCAGTGTGAAATTCTCTCTCCCCTTGCTTAGAATTAGTTGCAAGAACTTTAACTGCAACAGTCTCGCCAGTAGACATCTGAGCTTTGTAAACAGGACCAAATGCACCTTGTCCAATTACTGTTGTAAAATTATGCGTTGCTTTCTGTAAATCCCTGAAGAATAAATAAACATTCAATAAAATGAATGACAAACGCAATTAAACATTTTGAATTTCACTTGATAACAATTTGTAGTCACCAAAAATTCAACATTTCTGAACAAAATAGTTACATTTTGGCTTATCTTAAAAGACAGATATGATAAGTTAAAACTTAAGATTTGCATATGCAATTATGTAGCAGAGAAATATCAAGCATGAGTCAAAATGGTCATTCATAAATCCCAATCTAGCATCTATTTTAATAAGTGCAATGTTTAGTGATATTACAACTATCCAAAGGGATCTTTTACTTTGTTTCAATGTCTGATATTCAACTGTTTCAACCTCATAACTTGAGACTATTTCTCATCAATGTATACAGATCATGAGGCAAGAAGCACTCGATACAATTTTAACGGACAATTTCATATTCCACTGTGAGAAAATAAACAGAAAATTATCGTTCGTAGTCTCAAGCAGACTAAAATAGGTTCTTCCCTAAACAAAAAGAAAGGCAGATGAAGGCAACTTCATATAGAAAACAAACTCTTACTTGTATGCATATTCAGGTAGGCCAGATGCTGGGACCATGTTGCTACTCCTCTTAAATCCATCCAGCCAAAAGGGCATGCCATACCTTCCTGATTTTATGGGTGATTCTGGACCTAAGGTTGAGTCTGATAGAATGGTGCAAGAATCAGCACCATGTGTGCGTATTGGAATGGTAGCAGCCCTTCTAGAACTGCTATTGCCTATCTGTGAACGCTTCCGATGATACCTATGGCAGAAGAATGCAAAAAATGCCAAAAATAGTCCAATAACCACACCTATGGAAACCCCAATAATCAGTCCTATTGACTCCTCTCTCATCTCCTCCTCACTTCTTTGTTATTATTCCCTGTTGATCATCCAATCCATTCATAGGCCTGCCAAAATATACATCAAGCACAAAACAAATCATGGTAAATATTTAAAAACATGAGATCAGTTATAGATAATCTTGAAACTTGGTTCATTAGGCTATTACTCCGATTTCAGTGCCCTTAATAAATTCTGTACCATACATTGCTAAAAATCACAATATTAAGCAGAAAATTAAAAACTACAGCCTGGCATGACTGTGTTGAATAACAAAGCAGATTGTAAAAAATAATAAATGAACGATTTAAGATAACAACCCACCTTGTCAATCCGAAAGGTCAATTAATAAAAACCACAATCATACAGCAACCGAGAAATGGCATCAAAGACCCAAAAAGGAGAAGCAACAGCGTAAGGAAAAAATACACAACACAAATGGAGTTCAATTCAATACTTTACCCAATTGAAATATAAATATTTTGCTTTCTTTGAATTATTTCTCCAAGGAAAATCTTCCTGTGCCAAGAAAAATAACGCAAGAAAAAGTTGAGATTTATGAAAAACGGCTCAACTCTCCGATGAAATCCAACTAAGGCACACACCGTCCTTAAACCAAATTCTTTTTTTTTGGTTTTCCTCAATAAGTGAGCATCCTTTAAACACGATCCTTTCCAAAACACCATTCCATAATAAATGTGAGCATCTCAAATAGTAGAGATTCAAATTGTGATTCGCCTTCTTGTAAAAAATAACCTTTTTTACTAGACCCAAATCTAGCTTTAAACCAAATACAGATAACTATTTCCCTCCCCAGAAAATTCTTAGCAACCAACACAAGCACATACAAAAGAGAAAGAGAGAGAGGGGGAACAAACCCATCAAGCAATGAAGCATGAGCACAGAATAACACTAA